TATTGTCCTGGCACTATTTATTTATTTACTTGTGAACTGTCCTGTTAGGAATTGGGATAAATTTGAGGACTCATACAGAACCATGATTTTTTCAAATGGAGATCACTGCTGGAATGGACCACAAAGGAGTATGAAGGTAATTATTATCTTCACCATCTGGTGTCTGGTCTGTCCCAAAAAAAGACTCCTCATTTCCTTTTCAGGACCTCCCAAAAAAAGACTCCTCTTTCCAGTTTTGGCAAAAATTGTGTGGCCCAGCATATTTCTCTCTCCTCTACATCACTTTCAACTATATAATTTCACTTTTCTTAAACTTTGTGCTAAAGCCAATTGGGAGGCTTTTTTTGGGATGGAGGGAGTACCATATTTCTTAATTGTCATGTGGAGTTGTCGAGACCCTACTGTAGTGGGACTCAACTGGGTTGTTGTTGTTGTCATGTGGAGTTGTACACTTCATTTCTTTTGAGTTACTTCAGTTAGTGGTTAATCTTCAAGGCTCTAGATTTAATTGACAGATTTGACCTGTTTGATGTCCCGTTTTGACCAGGGAAAAATAGTACTACGGGTATAAAAAGAAAAGCTAAAACTTGTGAAACAGACACATCACTTACCATAAACGAACAAAAGAAAATAAAACTACTGCTTCAAACTGTGGATATGTATATAGAGCATGTGGGGTTTTGTTCGGTTTGGCTTCAATATGAAACTATTGCATCCATCTATTATGTAGTATTAAGAAAAGCAAGCTTGCCTTTGATCATTCAAAAAGTACTTCGTGGAGCTCTTTTTATTATTTTTGACTAATCCACTGCCCTTATTTTCCCTGCATTTTTGATATTATTATGCAGGTCAAACTAAGATGTGGTTTAAAAAATGAGGTAACTGACGTAGATGAGCCCAGCCGGTGCGAGTAAGATTCTTAATCTATTTCACTTTCATCACCATATATTTATATGTAGTAGGCTTGTTTGGTTTGGTACTTTGGTTTGGTTTATAAAACACATTTGATGTTTAGTCTTTCAGTAACACAGATTATGGCTAAGGAGGGATTATGTTTAAGTGTTTAACCCATGTATTATACTCGTGAAATGGGGTTTGAAAGTAAAATAGTATATATAAAAACTCATTTTTTTCCTAGAAAAGTTTTACTTTGACCTTTTAAAACTTTTAAACTACTATGGAGTACCTTTTAGCCACTTCTCATTATGAAACCGTTGCACATGAGAACACGTGGAATTGCCAAGACATTGAGAATAAGTTTACAAGCTCAGTACTTTTTTTCTCATTCCATTTCTAGCCTTTTCGACACTCCATCTAACTTGAAGTTTGTGGACGCAGATATCTCGCATTTTTATCCACACCAGCTGTCTGTGCAGAAGAAAAGCTAAAGGTAACTAAACTCTCATGAACTCCCAAGTTAAGAGCTTACGGTCTAATATCAAGCATTTCATGCACCACCGTTCTTTCATTTTTTGGCATTTATGTACTCATAATCACTTCTAAAGTTTGTGAAAACCAATTCCAATGTTGTAGGAACTCGAGGATCGACTCAAAGTGCTCAACAGAGAGCTACCACAAGCTCACGATGAACTCTGAAAGTATCCTCTTTTTTTCCATCGAACACTAAAACTAGGAAGAAAAAGAGACTTTTGCTTTAGATTTAAGTTCCTGGTTTAGAAAGATTATCAAGTGTTAAGGGCTTTAGGGTCCTCATGGAAGGGAAAGAAAATGGTAACCAAAGGCCAATGCTTAGGACTAAGGCCTTGTTTGGGGAGAGCGTTTTCAATTAGCATTAACGTTTTGGATAAAATATTAAACGTGTAGATTAATTCGGAAAACGCTAACACTAAAAGCTACCGTCAGATAGTCTTTTCAAAACGCTAATGTTAATTTCTAACGTTGATGCCAAACGGGCCTAAGTGATAAGCAGTGGTCTTGTTTGGATATTTTCTTTGTTTCCTTCCTCTTATTCACTAAATGGCATATCTCCTTCCACTTTAAGCTCACCAAAGTTTAAACATCTCCCAGCTCGTCTTATTGGTGATTTCTACTTTTTAAATTGTGTTGCCTATGAAAATGTTTCACATTTTATTTTTTGGTTTTGCCTAAGTCACAATTTCTTTTTTGGTTTTGCCTAAATTAAGGTTTCCATGCTTTTTTTTAAGAAAAAAAAAGGTTCATACTCCCTCCGTCTTAATTTAAGTTGCATGTTTACTATTAGTAGATTTAAATTTTAACCATATTCTTTATTCATTCTCGCTACCCGTTTAATAAAATAATATATTCTAGTCACCTCTTCTTTTGTAGACCTCTTGATGTAGTTTTTAAGCATGTTTTTTTTTAATTCTACACTAGTCTTTAAATAAATTGCGTTGAATATAATTTTAGTCAAATTTCGTAAACAAATGATTTAAATTGAGACATGGGGTATTATTTTTCTTGCATGACAAATCACTCACCCATCGGGTGCGTCATTTAGGTTGGACTGGATTAGTCTGAAGTCCTCTGAACAAAGCCTTAGACACCAAGGGTCAACCAATAAAGTACCCTTCACAAATGTCTAAATGATACTCTCTCCATCCCTAAATATTTGCCAAACTTGTATTTTCGAGACAAAATATCAAATTTTTTTAATTTATTTTATTTACATATTGGTATAGAAATAAAAAATGCTCCGTAAAATTTACATATCAAAAAATTACATGAAAAGTTCTTCGAAATAAGAGGTGTCAAGAATATTTTATTTTATTAGATAACCAATGAAAACGTAAAAATAAACAAAAGTTCTCACGACTGCTGAAAAAGCAAACGTTGCAAATATTTTGGGATGGAGAGAGTAAATTTTAAAAATAAGATACCTATTACTCCGTATTTATTTGTATGTTTTATTAATTATTGAAGAAAATAAAATATTTTTATCAATTCTTGTTTTGTACTCCCTCCGTCCCATTTTATAAAACCTGTTTCAGTTTACGAGGTTTGACTGAAATTATTTTCAAATTATTTTATATGACAAATGGTATAGAGTTAAAAAATAAAAATTACATATTAAATTACTATATCAAAAGATCTACAAAACTAGTAATGATAATAGTACTTTATTTTATCAAATTGCTAACGAAAATAAAGAAAGAAAGTGAATAAAGTTTGACCCCGTGAATAGTGAACATGTATTATAATTTGGGATGAAGGGAGTACCTCCTTGTATCCTAATAGATGTAAATTTAAAAAAAACTACACCTAAAATTTATAAATTAAAAAGTGAAATGACTCTATGATTTTATAAAATAAACAATGAAAATAAACAAATAAAATGAATGAAGTTTAACATTATAAATATTGTGAAGAAGACATGAGACGGAGAGTGGCAAGTTGTCATCGACCATGGCATCGATGGTAACCTAAAGCTCGGTCCCGATTGGGAACAATGGCTCCCTTCCCACCACCCCTCCCCCTCGCAATCGGAAATCGAGAAATTCGGCTTCCCTACACCAATCTTCCTGAAGTCGTTACCTCCCTCTTGCTTCTGCTGGGGATCTTTGACATCTTACGCAGCGGGGAAGTTGGAGCGCAACTAAGAGTTGGTTAGAAGAAAACGAAAGACGACACCCACACCCTTTGGTCTTCGCTTCATTTGAGAATACCGTTTTCAATTAACATTTTGAAAACACTAACGTTAAATACTATCATTAGCTTTTTCAAAACACCAACATGAAACGCTAACCACTACGTATATAATTGTGGCTCTCTCAGCAAAAAGAATTCCCAATTTGAACCACAAAGAAAAGTATAATGCAAATAAACCCATAACAGAATCGCAATAAAGCCTGGTTTCACAATAACCCAAACAGTACCTAAAGCATATATGCAAACTAAAAAAGGGGACCGAAAACTCCAAACTAACTAAAAAGGCCACACAAACGGCCCCCAAACCCACCGCCGGCCACCACGTGTACCACTCCCATCACTCTCTTCTCCATCTCTTCTCGAACTGCTGCTCATGTCATCCCGGGACCCGTCGTCCCTCTCGGCCGCTTCGGGTTTCGATTCCTCCTCGGTGGGCAACCGGTACCGACAGACCGGGCAAGAACTATGGAGGTCTAACCATGGTAAGATACAGTCACTATGGAACCTATGCTTGCAGGGCATCTCCTTCACTACGGTTCCAGCCCGAAACTCTTCAAAGCAAACGGTACAACTCCCGGAAGACCCGTTAGGGTACAGGTCGTCCTCGACAGTGACATCGGGCAACCCTGCCACCGCGTCCTTCCGGGCAGGCGGGGTCCCGTATTGGTTCCGGTCATTCTCCGCTAGGAGCTCCATGATGGCGTCAAAGTTGGGACCAAGGAAATAATCCCCAAATGTGCCTATTTGTCGTTGCCCGTTTCCTCGGTTACTTCCGTTTCGACCACGGGAGCCCTCATCGGGGTTGGGCAATTCGGATAGGGTTTCATTAACTTGATTTTGAAGGAGCTGGATAATGGCGGCGGCTGCAGAGGTCCCATTGTTCTCATCATTCTCAGCATCACCATCATCACTATTATCCCCTTCGGGATTCAATGGTTCGGTTGGGGTTTCAGTTCTAATGGCTCGTAGGGTCCGGAGAACGGAAACTGCAAATCTCAAAGTCAAGTCATTTTCGCCCTCATTGCCGCGATCCCCCACATCATCACCCCGTCCGGGATTCAGCAATACATTTAAGATTCTGGCAGGTGGAGGGCCCCGCACGGCCCCGGGAACAGCATCATCCCAATTACCGACGCTTCCATTCTCCCCGACAAGACCATTCCTAGCCATACGATCACCTTCCATCTCGAGATTCGGCGATTCGGTCGTTAGGGTTTCAACTAGGGCAGACGCGCTCCCTCTCGACACATCCCGGTCACCGTTCCGGTCTCCCTGGGCCCCACGGCCTTCCAACACGACACTGTACAGCTCGCGGAGGTTTTCCAGCACCGCCGCGAGCATCTGCGACAAATCTGGGGAAGAAGCATCACCAGATTCCACCGCAGATTCCCTTAGCTCCAAGAACCCGGTCAGGCAAACCGGGCAGGTCAAAGCCTCCACCTCCTCCAAGATCGGGTTCACCATCTTCAAGCACTGGTAACACCAATACCTTCCTGCTTCAGATTCCTCCATCTCCTGCCATGAAGAACGAATTTTTAACAATTACACAGAAAACATAAAGTGCGATTCAATCCTATTACATGTTTGAAGATGCGAGAATTCGAAAATCAATATAAAAAACAAAACCCTGGAAATCACATCTGGTAAAACAGAGACAAAAAAAGAGATTTCTATTGCACGATATGAATTACAGAGTAAAAAATTGAATGAAAACAAATAGCAGACGATGAGAAAGAAGATCGAAAGTCATTCCTACCTTCGATTCTGCAGATTCAGACAGGATAAAAAGATGAACTAATTGAACGATTTTGGAGTTTCTTGAAGGAAAATTATTGTTTTGGGGTTTAGAGTTTCATTCCTCGGTAAAAAAGGGTAAAAGGAAGAGAAGGATCTAGAAGACACCGGCCGACATATTATCAATTCACATTGAAATTCCTTTTTTTTTTTAGAATCACATTGAAATTCTTATCCTTGTTGGGTTAAAAAAATGTGTATAAATTACTCCGTAAAAAATAAAATTTATATGCTATTTCTAGCTTAAGATTAAATTTTTATTTCAAACTAATTATATATATATATATATATATATATATATATATAGTCATTTTGGAAATGAATTTAGCAATACTCATATTTTTTTCCATATGTAATCCATAAAACATTGATCATATAAAAAGTGTAAGTCTCACTTAATTTTATTCAATTTTAAAGTCAATATGGAGTTTTTTTGTGTAGCACAGAAATTACATCTCAATATGTAACGCCCCGAAAATAGGCCTATCAAAATTAATTAATTGATAATTAATTAATTACTGAGAAGGACCCAAAAATAAATAAATTCTAAAGTTTGTCAATAAATAATGAAAATTATATCATTATGTAGAGTTTGACTGTCTGACCTCAACGAGTCAACGGTTCAATAGGATTTCAATTTGGAGAAAGTTGGAACAAAAAGTGTACCCCAACTGGGACCAAAATTAGTCTCAATCAGGGACTACACACCAAAAGTGTACCCCAAATGGGACCAAAATTAGCCTTCAATTACGCCAATTCCAAATTCGTCGCTCAATCACGGAAGCTGCAAACCTGTGTCTTCTTCTTCTTCCCTGGGCTATTTAAGGACAACCCAACTCCCTCATTTCATCACCAAAACAACTCATTCTTCTTTCTATATTGTTCCTTGCTGAGAGTAGAGTGCAGTGGTGCTCTCATCTTTGTCTGAGGTCGCCGGAGCAGTGAGATAGAGTCACCGGAAGTTTCACCAGAAAATCTTCAAAACCTCCCTTACGCTTCAAGGTAAGCCCATAGATATATCTAATGACTAGAATTTTCATATAGGTCGTTTCTACGTTCATAAATGGTCATTTGATTGAGTTTTGTGTTTGACATGTTTGAAGAACCAAGAATCATAAACCTTGAATTTGATGTTAAAAATATATTTTAATAATTCTAATATGATCTATGAATCTTGGAGAACATCTCTATATAATTTAATTGAAGTTCGGTGACTAAAAATGGTTTTCCCGAAAAATGGACCGAGGTTGAAGACGAATGAACAGTGGCTGAAAATCCACAGATTGGATCAATCCCCTTCATTGGATCGATGCTCTAGGAGTTTTTCATTCTAGTTGGATCGATCCAGAGGGCTGGATCGATCCTCCGAAACTCTGGTCCGAAAATTTGTCTGAAATTGCTATTTTTGATACCAATTGATTATGATTATTATAAAAATGATTTTTCACAACAAAAATGATGTTTTTAACAAATTAAAACATTATGTTATGCATGACGGTAAGTTCGGGTGTTAACACTCGAGACTAGGCCGCTAATTATTATTAAATGTTATGTTGAATGATCATTAATATGATTATTGATTAAATCATGATTAAAAATAGATATAATAATGATTATGAAAATGATGTATATTGTTAAGGATATCTAGAAGAACTCTAAGATATACCCACTCCCACTTGTATAATGATGATGATTATTAAAGATATCTAGAAGAACTCTAAGATATACCTCCTTGACCAATTCATATTTCGGGGTTAAAACGTATGTACGGGATCCAGAACGGATATCACCCACCCGGCAGTTCACTGTTCGGTTGGTACGTAATCCACATGACTCATAGGGTGGATTATCGATTCTTGTGTTCTGCATTAAACTATTTATAGTTTAAGGGCCTGATTAGAAATGTTGTCTTAGACTAGGAATAGTTAAGAGTTGTTATGAAATGATTTGGCCTTAGATTAAGAATAATTTGAGAGCTGTTGAGATACTGAATATCAAATGACTTGGAATAAAAAATTGAAAATATCATGAATGTTTGAATTATATATTGTGTGCATGATATCAAATGGTTGTTATGAATCGAGATTCAATTTATGTGGATGTTCGACGCTTTAGATATGCTTACTCAGCTTCACCGCTGAGCGTGTAGTGTGTTTATTTGCTACACGCGGGTAGGCAGAATGAATGATTGGCTGATTTCTGGCAGCAGAAGGGGCGAGACAGTCGTGGTAGATTATTGAATGAAATAAATAATTATGTTGTTATGAGACATATTTTAAAGCCGCTTCCGCATTTTATTTAAACACTCCGTATTTCCCTACAATTATGTATGGAATATTATTTATTTATAAATAAAAATGTTTGAAATGTTTTAAATTTTACGATTACCAAGTTAAATACTTTAGTCCGAATGGGGCTGCAGACCTGGACGGATTAGGGTGTTACACAATATATATTTATTTTTTTGATAGACCACAGGTATTCCAGTTCCATCTTTAGCGAAGTTCCACTAATCCTGATCGATCAGATTTGTAAATTAAGATCAAAAGTCTTCCAACAAGTGATTGGGTTCGAACACATGACCTCAAGGTGACCACAACTCCGCGCCACCAATTGTGCAAATATTTGCACATCTATTAAAAAAAATACTTGTAGTCTCTCAAACGAGTTTCGGATCTACGTAAACATAAAATTCAGGGGAGATTCAAAGCATGAGCCGGGTGGTCACCCGGTCAAAGCCAATTTTTTAGGAGGCCCAAATTTTTATTTGTATATATACTGTGATATTGACATTTTATTATTTTTATTACTACTCTGTCTGTTCTAAAAGTTTTTCTCATTTCAATTTATGAGTTTTGACTAATGTTATTTTTTTATTTAATTTATTTGATTATAAAAATTAAATACGAAGTATTAAAATTATATATTTAAAAACTACATCGAAAGTTCTACAAAACAAGAGGTGACGTGACTATATTATTTTATCAAATGACTAACAAAAATAACTAAAGAAAGTTGTGAAAATTTGATCATATAAATAGTAATTGAGAAGAAAATTTTAGAAGGAAGAGAATATAATACTGAGTATTAATTATTGTTAAAAAATAATTTATAGACTTCACTTCATTATGACACAAATACCCCTATATATATATGGTATAAAGGGACTTGATAAAAATCTACCTAACAAAGGTGATACTCCATCTCTGTGTCCATTCGATATTGGGCCTATTTAAAAATAGCGTTAGAGATTAACGTTAGCGTTTTGGTTAAAATTTTAACGGTGCAGATTACTTTAAAAACGCTAAATACTACCCATAGATAGCCCTTTCAAAACGCCAACGCTACCACATTTAACCAATAAATTCTCTTAAGAAAAGAGATGATATTCCATCTCTCTGATTTTTTTAATTTTTATTACTATCTTTATCGCAAATAAGATTTGTATTACATATATTAAAACAATGAAACAATTTTTTTTTTCTTTTGGAGAAAGGTAAAATTCATAAGCACCACTCAAAATTAAGTGCGCAAAATCCATGGCAGAACATCACCATACAGAAACAACTCTGAACAAATGCCTATCAAACGAAAGTTTTTGGCAACACAACAAATTCCTAACTACACAACTAAAAAAAGCAGTTCTTTGAAAGTTTTTTTTTGCAAAATAAACACTTAGCATATTGAAATCAACTTCGTACTCAGGTGTACACCACCTTCTCACAAACATACACTGACACCCACTGTGGTATTTGTGTGTATGTGATAAGGTGGGGTACACCTGCATACACCGACCTGAGATATCTCTAGGTTTTTCCTCATCAAATTGATTGTCCAGTATATAGTATATAGGGACAGAGAGAGCATGAAAAAAAATACGGGAAAATCTAGAGGCACCCCAAGTTGGTGTAACACAAATGGTGGGTGTCATTTTATACCAATTTTATTGGTGTAAGATTGTTATACCAATTCAATTGAAAGCAACTACGATGCTTCAATGCAAAATTGATTATTTCTACCTCCCCTTCTCCCTGGTAAACCAATATTTGGTCAAAAATCTGACCAACAAGTGATAAAATTCAGTGTAAAAAAATTGGTGGGGGTGTGAGGGTGCGTTGGGGAAGGGGCGGGTTAGGGGGCTATGTTGGGGACGGGGCGGGCTAGGGGACACCTACAACACTCTATTTACAAAATTAATGATTCTCACCTTCTAAACTCTAAGGGGTGTTTGTTTTTCTGCCAGAAGACCTTCTGACATCTTTTGTCTGCGCCGCGCAGACGCGCGCAAATGATGGACTCTGCAGATTGTTTGTTTTTTGGAAGACATTTCACTCAAAAAGGTCTTCCTGACATCTTCTTGGAGAAGACATTAACCAATGTCTTCTAACATCTTTCCTTTTTTTCTACNGTCCACCATCACCGTCACCGTCCATCACCATCGTCGTCCACCACCACCTCCGTCAACGTCCACCACCACCCTCCACCACCACCACAATCATCCATATACCACCACCATACACTACCACCATTAATTTATATAGCAGTCTACAGACATTAAAAAAACAAACACTCTTCTTCTTGCAGACCGCAGACCTTCGGTCCACCACTTCTCCTGCAGATGTCTACAGTAGTGGTCCGCAGACCGCAGACCTTTTCCTACAGAAAAAACAAACACCCCATAACACTCTTGTCATATTATGACATTGATGTTTAATGTCAAAAGAACCACCCGAAAACAAAGAGGGCATTATTTAATACATTATCTTGAGATTGGTAAAGTCCCTTTATAAAAAGGACTGCATTATCCTTCTGCGAAGTAGGAGTACCTTATAAAAGGGACATAATGAGGAAGTACAACTTAACATGCAAAAGGTACCACCATGCTCCTTCCTCGCTCATTTTCAGTATCCTCAGAGGACACTATCCCAATCGGGACACCTACAATGTCCCGTTAAAAAAAATTGATAGTTTCTAATCCCCCGATAAACCTCCACCCAATTCCTACCCCCCTAAGCCTCTGGTAGGAACTATCAATTCGAAC